TTGCCTCTACATCATGTAATGGGGTGAAAAATGTGATATTTCATGAAATATGTCATTTTTCAACCCATTGAGAGAATTCAAGAAGGGAGCCCACTTTTTTTAATGGGACTCATTTATCTGAACTTTCAAAGTGTTGGTGTTTATCAATGTAGATGGACGATGGTCTAAAGAGAAAAACAGGAGAATGATAGGAATTTGAATAAAAAGAGAAGTTGCTAGAAATACATAGCAACAACAACGACAACAAGAACTTGGCTTTATATAGTGCTCTCCACGATGGACGGCATCTCAGAGCGCTTCACAGCAAAGGATCCCGGGGCCGAGCCAGAGGGAGGGGAAGGAAGGTGACCAAAGGCGCGGTCAAAATGAAAGGTCTTCAGCTGAGACAATAAAATAAGAGAGGGGGCAAGGTGAAGGGAGTGAAGAAGGGAGTTCCAGAGCCTCGGGATGTAATGGCTGAAGACACGACCGCCGAGGGTCGAGTGGATGATTCGGGGGACAAGGAGGAGGCCAGACCCGGTGGAGCAAAGGCAACGGGCACTGTTGTGAGGAGAGAGGAGGTTAGAGAGGTAGGGGGGTGAAGAGGAGTGGAGGGGTTTGAAGACAAGAGTGAGGATCTTGAAGTCGATCCTCTCTGGGACAGGCAGCCAGTGCAGTCTTGCAAGGTGATCGGGGAGCGGAGTTTGTTGCGGGTAAGAATGCAGGCGGCAGAGTTTTGGATGATCTGGATTTTGTGAATGGTAGTGGAGGGGAGACTGGTGAGGAAGGCATTTGAATAGTCCAGCCGAGAGGTGGCAAAGGCATCGACCTGTGTTTCAGCGGCTTTTGGAGTGAGGTATTGGCGGAGACGAGCGATGCGATGGAGTGGGAAGAAAGCGGTCCCGGTGAGGAACCGGATGTGGGGGAGGAAGGATAATTGGGGGTCGAACCTGATGCCTAGGTTGCATTTGGGTTCGGAGAGTTTTAGGGGGAGGTCGGGTAGGTGGAGGAGGTGAGAACCATGTGATTTTAGATGTTGACGAGAGCCAAAGAGTATGGCTTCCTCCTTGTCAACATTCAGCTGAAGGAAATTCGCTCTCATCCAGCTCCTGATGTCTGACAGGCAGGCTGACAGAACATCGGGGGACTGGGGGTCGCAATGTGAGGTGGAAAAATAGAGTTGGGTGTCGTCTGCATACATGTGGAAGTGTACCCCATGTCTGCAGATGATATCCCCAAGAAGGAGCATATAGAACAGAAAGAGGAGGGGGCCAAGGATAGATCCTTGGGATACCCCGCAAGTAACCGGGTGAGAGCGAGAGGAGAAGCCGTTTGTGCAGATCTACTACTGGCAGTTCGTGAGGTAGAACTCGAACCAGGTGAGTCCGGTCCACTGAGGTGGATAACGATGGAAAGGCAGTGGAGGAGGGAAGCGTGATCGACTGTGTCGAAAGCGGCGGAGAGGTCCAGGAGGACAAGGAGGCAGATGGAGCCCTCGTCACAGGGAGAGAGGATGCAATTTGAGACTTTCACAAGCGCAGTCTCTGTACTGTGGCCAGGGCAGAAACCGGACTGGAGGGGTTTGAAGAGGGAGTGGGAGGAGAGGTGTGCGCAGAGTTGATTGGCAACAACTCGTTCTAGGACTTTTGGAGGAAGGGCAGGTTAGAAATAGAGCAGTAGTGGCTGGGGTTTGAGTGATGCAGGGAAGATTTTTTGAGGAGGGGGGTGATGACAGCAGTTTTGAGGGGGGCAGGGACTGATCCAGAGGAGATGACATCAGCCATTGTGGGCAGAGGAGGGGGAGCTGGGTGACCAGCAATTGGTGGGGAGGGGTTCAAGGCAGCAGGTGGTGGGTTTCATTGAGGTGATGGTGGGTGAGAGGGAGGAAGGAGAGTTGGGGAGTAACGAATGTAGGATGGGGGTCGTGATAGAAGCTGATGATGGGGAGGGTGAAGGGGACGGAGAGGTGGTGGTGGGTGACAAGAGCCAGGAGGATGAGGCTGCCTGGATGTTATGTATTTTGGATGAAAGGAAGTCCATGACCTCCTCGCACTTGGCATTCATTCATTGATTGAGTCATTCATTTATTCATTCATGCAAATCATTCATTGCTATCAACCTGTGAAACAGTATGAGACCCTTTATCATGATTGAGGTTCAGACAATTTCAGAACATTTTTATATGAAAACATTGATTGCACCTCTGGGTACAGTTGGAACAGTGGCTCTGTCTGTTGACTAAAACTTAATTTGGATCTGTTTATTCTAGAGTATTTTTAAGAACTACAGAAAACCAAATTGCAAAACTAGACTAAATTTAAGAATTTTTCAAAATCCTGCACAATTATAATTATAATTTTTAAGTTAATGGGTAAGAAACATTGAGCTGATATGTGGGCAAGTGTACTTAATGCGGCAATGGGATCGCTCGCGTGGGAAGGTTAGAAACAGCCAGATTTTCATCTAGCTATATTTTCTGCTGCTGCTATTGAAGTAATCAAATAGAAAATGCTGCATTTCTCAAGATCACAAGATTGGTTTGCATGAAGTCCCTTCGACCCGTTTGATCTCATCCTTCTGGGGACATCTACTCTACCATCTTCCAATCATCGTATCAAGCTGTTTTTTGTTTCTGTCATTAATTACCCTCTGAGTAAAGAAATATTTCCTAGTGTTTGTCCTGAAATTGTCTTTGTAAACCTGAACATATGTTTTTGTATTCTACTGACTTGGTGCATCTGAATACATTGTTCTGGATTTATTTTTCAGTCCCATTTAAAATGTTACATGCACAATTATTGACTTACCTTGGTAAGCATAATTGTATTTAAAAAAGATGGATTTCTTATGACTTTCAGATAAGTGAGGTCAGACACATGCATTGAGATTTTTGTTCAATGTTTGCGATACCAAGTATTATCTTTAGTGCAAATACATTATTTTTTGTCATTCTTTGTCAAAGTGCAAACATAACAAAACATCTTAGGAGTAAACTCAATTTGTGACATGATAAACCTATCGCATTTTATCTATGTTTATACAAGATGTCTTCCAGTTGAAAATGCTTCACAGACCACCTACCTTAATATTTCAGTCAATACAGTTTCCATTTGAATGTTTGTCAATTGCATTTCTAATTCTAAAGAAAATGAAAAAACAACAGCAAAATTACATTTATAGAGCGCCTTTCACGTCGGGAGGACAATCCAAAGCACTGAACAGTTAGTTGTCGGGGCCCGAGCATGGAGGGGGGGTGGTGTAGGGGTGAGGGAAGGCGGAGAGGTGGGAGGGAGACCAAAGGCACAGTCGAAGAGAAGGGTCTTGAGACCAGCCTTGAAGGAGGCAAGGGAGGAAGCGAGGGGAAGGGACCGTGGGATGAAGTTCCAGAGTGTGGGGGCAGAGAGGCTGAAAGTCCAGCCACCAATGGGTGGGTTGGGCGGGAGACATGGAGCCGGCCGAAGCCCGCTGAACGGAGGGAACTTAAAGGTGAGGACGAGGATCTTGAACTTGATCCTCTGGGGGATGGGGAGCCAGTGGAGTCGGGCAAGGGTGGGAGTGATGGAAGCCTGGTGCGTGAGAGTACACGAGCTGCAGAGTTTTGGATGACCTTCAGTGTTCTCACACACGTGACTGATTAAAATATCAGGGGCAAAATTTATGGCGTTTAATACTGTGTTACCTGTGCTGATTAACACAGAATGTGTTATCAACCATGATAGATTTTGCCTTAAAATGTGTACAAATGCCATATTTTGTTACTGTACTAACTAGGTTAATGTACTTTTAAAACTTTTTTTGAGATTTTTATACTAATCACATTGTGTGTGGGGAGGGGATGGGGGCTTGGCTTTTCCTACTGCTGAACAGCAAGTCTCTCAACATTTAAATGGCTATTTTGATACAGAGAGGAAATTTCAAGTTTCCTCTGAATAGCCCACTACTTTCCAAGTTCACAACACTAGCCATCCTCTGGTCCTTCTGCATGAAGTTGGCAATTTAAGGGAACTGTGAACTGCTGTGAATTGATGTTTATAGGACCTGAGCTGAGACTTCATGAGCTCTTTTGATATACTGTAGTAAATGCAAGGATTATCATAATTACTCTCATAGCCAACAAGCAGAGGAAAATTCCATCTGAACTACACAGGTTGAATTTGAGCCAAGGGTTTAGAGTTCTAACCCATTCTGATCGTAGTTGATTTTTTTGTAAGTGCTCATGGACAAATTCACGAAGCAGAGTGGAATATTAGCAATTGGATCTGCTGACTATAACTCAATAGTAATTAATCTCATCATTTTCGCTTGTGAAATATATCGAATCCCACAGCTGGCCATGTCATCTCCTTTGTGTACAAATCATAACACATACTTGGAAGGAAACTGAAGTCAGCAATCCAGTCTTAGGGTTCAGGTTACATTCACAATCTGCTAAAGCAACACTCCCAGTTATTATGATTATTGATAGTAACTGAATCTTTGGATTGGATTCTTGGAATTGCCTTCCAAGTATACATGCTTTTCTGTACTGCAGAACCTCTTATTTGTTATTTATGATGATATTCTCTAATTATTATGATGAATATTCATAATTATTCAAACAATAAAATCAGATGCAGTAGAAAACTTTCACTCATCAGAACAAGAACTTGGTTCTCATTGCAAGAGTCAATCACTAGATGATTGAATGCTACATTGGATGTTTTGTTCATTATCTAATAGGCTTGACTCGTGTTACAGGTATTTTTTATTGGATTATTTTTGCAGAATTAGCTAACATATTCTATGTGAATCAGATTTTAGGGATTGGAATTGGTTGCTCCTGGGAATGGCGGGTTGTCACAGATGCATCAACAACTCACGGATAACAGAAACTGTGATGTTATTAGACACACGTGACTATGTGAAACATTAAGGTTATCAATTTGTGGTGTTCAATATTGTGTTACTTGTGTTGATTAACACTTGGTTGGCACTTCATTAACACTTTTCTTCATCAATGAATTGTGTATTTTTTCTTTCAGGACGATGTCAGGTTAAAGATGAAGAGAAAGGTAAAGCTGGAAGCATTCAATTTCCCACTTCTTAGGCCTGAATCCCAGCCAGTTTTAGCCTGTAAGACAACTTGGTCTTAAAAAATTAAGATCATGTGGAATTGTAAAAAAAAAAAATTTACTCCTCATTTGAAAGTTGGTTCTTTTTAAGAAAGGCAGGAATCCAGCTTCAAAATTAAAAGTGAATTTAGGCAGTTTTACACTTTTTTCAAAATCTTGCATAATCTTTAATTTTTTAAGACAAAATTACAGCACTTTTATGTCAGTAGGTTTGCAGTTTGGAATATGTATTAAAACTTAATTTAATTGAACAATGATGTAAATCGTGACTCTCCTGCCAAGGTCAGATTCACACATCAAGTCAAAGAGAGAAAAGGAGGAAGAAACTGTTTCAGACAATTTGATCTCATCCTTTCAGAGGACGTCCCCTTATCCTCTTCCTATGATGCTATTTCGTAAATGTTTCCAATGTCCCAGCTTGAACCACCCTTCCTAGTGTTTCTAGAAATACTTGCAGATGGTAATCAACATCCACTGGAGGGTTGCTTGTCAAACTCAATTCATGTGTACATATAAATGCTGGACTCTTAATTGTTTGCTGTCTAAATAGTTCAGCCTCTATTATTTATCTTAAAGAAGTTCATCTTGTATTCAGACTATTTGCATCATGATAATTCACCAGTTTTTTATATGTTGATTTTATGTTGTCATCATTTTCCGTTACATTTTCTGTTGGCATCATTTATTGCTGTGTTCCATTACTTCTTCCCCACAGCAGAGTGATGTAATGGAATTAACTTGTAATCTAAAGAATGCATTTTATTTTCAGCGGCTGATTGTTATATGAAGTGTAGCAACACACTATGAATCAACTATGTTGACCAAACCAATTTGCAAATGGAGAATATTGAACTGGGCTTGTTACCAAAAGCTTGAAGTTTTATAACAATGTCAGCCAACCATCCACTCAGATGGCTGGAGCCAAGAAAATTATCTGAACATACTTTCTGATAGTTAGCTTTAATCACTAACCTAATGGAAGTCCATTGAAAGTTTGAGCCATAGGCAATGCATTAAAATCTTCCGACCAACATAATTCTCCCAATTATTAGTACATATTAAAGTACACAGGGCTTGCATTAAAACAAGTGTGTTTGCTTTCTCTTAAAAAAAACATTGCTTGCAAACCATCTCAAGGTGCAATGATAAAAACTGAACTACTGTTGCGTTAGCAATACCTAATGATATAAAAATGCATGGAAATCCTGCATCTTTAAGTCTTTTCCCTTCTCGGCGATGAAGATAGTCTCAATTTGTAAACAAACAAAACTGTAAATTAGCTTATCTAAGTAAATTAAACAAATGCATAACTTGCTTTGAATTCTGTCGCAGATTTGGCTTCATCTCTGTACTATCCATTTAAAAGCAGAGCCTTAACAGTTACTCTCAGACCCCCAGTATAAAGCACTTTGGTTATAGCGTGGTCATACTATGGACTAATGGTATGCTGGGAGCGCTGTCCACCTCCAGTCAATGACATTGACTGGCTCAATTCCCTTGATGCGTCGCAGCTATCAAGCTACCGGCCCGTCTCCAACCTTCCCTTCCTGTCCAAGGTCCTTGAACGAGTTGTCGCCTCCCAGCTGCGCTCTTTCCTCTCCACCCATTCATTATTCGAACCCCTTCAGTCGGGTTTCCGTGCTGCCCATAGCACAGAAACTGCCCTGGTCAAGATCACCAATGACATCCTGACCATCTGCGACCAGGGCTCCCTCTGCCTCCTCGTCCTCCTCGACCTATCAACAGCATTCGATACGGTCAACCACGCTATCCTCCTCTACCGCTTGTCCTCCCACCTCAACCTTCAAGGCCCTGTCCTTGAGTGGTTTAGGTCGTACCTCTCCCACCGTCTTCACTTTGTTTCCATGAACGGCTTTTCCTCCAGCCCCCGCACTGTCTCGTGCGGTGTCCCTCAGGGCTCTGTCCTCAGTCCCCTCCTCTTCACCCTCTATATGCTCCCCCTTGGTGACATCATCCGCAGACATGGGGTTAACTTCCACATGTATGCGGATGACACCCAACTCTACCTTTCCTCCTCTACCCTCAACTCCACGACCACCGATGTCCTGACAGCTGCCTGTCAACCATCGAGTCCTGGACGAGAGACAACTTTCTTCAGCTCAACGTGCGTAAAACTGAGGCCCTCCTGATTGGCTCACGTCAACGCCTCCGCACCTCTGGCGCTGACAGCATCAGCATCCAAGGCTGCACTCTCCACCTCTCAAAGCCAGTCAGGAACCTCGGTGTTCTGTTCGACCCTGAGCTGTCCTTTCTCCCTCATATCCACGCCACAACTGGCACCGCCTTCCATCACCTCCGGAATATCGCCAGACTATGGCACTACCTCACCCCTCACGCTGCTGAAATTCTGGTCCACGCCTTTATCACCTCAAGGCTGGACTATGGGAACTCTCTCCTCACCGGCCTTCCTGGCACCTCCCTCCACAAGCTGCAGGTCATTCAGAACTCTGCAGCTCATGTACTGTCCCGCACCAGGCTTCGGGACCACATCACTCCCACCCTCGCTCGCCTCCACTGGCTCCCCATCCCCCAGAGGATCGAATTCAAGATCCTCATCCTCACCTACAAGGCTATTCACGGCCTTGCTCCCTCTTACCTCTCTGACCTACTATCCCCCTACCTACCTGCCCGTACCCTCCGTTCCTCTGGCTCCGGTCTGCTCCACATCCCCTGCCCCAACCACCCTACCATCGGTGGCCAGGCCTTCAGCCTCTCAGCCCCTAGGCTCTGGAACTCCATCCCCCAGTGCCTTCACCTTGCCTCCTCCCTTTCCTCCTTCAAGGCGGTCTCAAGACCTTTCTCTTTGACCGTGCCTTCAGCTCCCCTCTCGACTCTCTACCCCCTCCTCGCTCCCTCCCTTCTCTCCCCTCAGCCTGACCATTTCCCCCCTGCTCGGGTCCTGACCCAACTGTACCACGCCTTGGGACGTCCTCCCAACGTGAAAGGCACTCTGTAAATGGAATCTTGTTGTTGTTGCATGCTATATATACACAGAAAGGGTTGTCGGCAGTGCTTCCTTAATATACTGTGTATGTGCAACACGCAGGAAATAAATGCAGTGGTGACCTGGTGACCCTGATGTTGGCCATTTATTGCCTTGGGAAACTGGTTATTCAGTGCTGATAACCAAGTTAGCACAGATCCAAAGTGGTGTCGTAATATAAGGGCTATGTTGAAGGGCACTGCATCTGGGTTCCTTCGTACATGTTATGTAGAGCATTGAAAGAATAATTGAAGTAACCTATTTTATTTTCTGTTTTCACAGCACAGTGTGTTACCAGTCATTTGGGTTACTGTGATAGTCTGCCTTATGTGAAGACTATGTTTCCTAACTTGATTGGTCAGAAAACAAGAGAAGAGACTGAGTTAAGTGCTGAGTATGTTCTTATAAGTGTTTTGAACAACTTACTAAATGGAGAGTGCAGCCCTGACCTCGAGCTACTGGGTTGTTCCATCTTAGTGCCACGTTGTGAGAAGAACGTGATTCTGAAGCCTTGTCGATATGTTTGTGAAGCAGTTAAAAAAGACTGCCAGCATGCATTTGAGATGATACATATGGCATGGCCATATTTCATGGACTGCGATCGCTTTTTTGTCAGTGAAGAAGAGGGTTGTTATGACCCTTTAGGAAGAGAAAGAGGTAAGACTTTAATTTGTTGAAAGTAGAACGCTATACAGAGTAACCTAAATTTAACAGGAGAGATAATAGTGTAAACGGAATGGTTTTCACATTTTGACTTAAGTTAAGGTCTATTTCCTAACGCTGGGGTAAAATTATACCGGAGTCGAGATTTACTCTTATTTTCTTAGCATTTTAGGACATCAAGAATTTGTCAAAATCTTAATATAGCCTTAATTTTGAAGCTGGTCTTCTGTATGTTCTTTTATTGAAAAACCATTTCAATGTTACGACAAATTCAACAATTTGCCACATTCTGTGTGCACAAAGTTCTGTATAAATCTAGAGCCAGGTGAAATTACTCCCCGCTTGTATTTTACACATCCAGTACATTAATTGACCATCAAAGGGCAAGGGCTAACTTCATGATTGAGCCAGCAGGAGGCATTATGAAACAGCATTGGAAGGAAACTTGGAGGGTCAAGAATACCTGCACCAGTCCAAGCAAGCACGTGCTAAAGTTCCAGTAGCTACCGAGCCATAATACATAATACCAAAGGTGCCGCCATAAATGAAGAAAAATTCAAAAAAGAAAAATTATTTTGTTGGTCAACCACAAAGGTTGGTGACCTCTTCCCGAGACACTTCATCTGGTGTTGACCAAACTCTACAGAGTCTGAGTTTATTTAGCATGTATGGGTCTAAAAGAGACACAGACTGGAAACTAAAAGTACCCACATCGAATTGGCTGCCAAATGAATAGAGTTGTTTTTGCTTTACTTTTTTGCCTGAATTGACAGTTTAATTTGAGCCTTTGATGTCTGCCTCTGACAAGTCTGCAAATTGCCTGTTTATTTTACCAAGAGAACATGAATGTTATGCATGGATCTTAATAGACAATCTCAATGTCATTCCTCTTATTTGACAGAAATGATCACAACAGATGAAGCAGAAGCACCTTTTACCTTGCTACAGTTTATACACCACAGCTATGTTGATATGACAAAATTATTGAAACGAACAGCATCCGTTTGCTCACATATCTCAACACTGTACACCATTGGTCGCAGTTTTGAAGGCAAAGATATTTATGTAATTGAGTTTTCAGATAATCCGGGGGAACATGAATTGCGTAAGTATTGTGCTCATTCATCTTTCTATTTTATTCCCCATTCTCTTCTCACCCACTTTGAGCAGCACTCCAAGACACAATTTATCTAAATGGCTCTATGTAAATGCAAGTTGTTGTCATATCAGGGCCTTCAAAGATTCAGTATTTGAAAGTTACATTGATAATAGTGATAGGTACGAAATAGGCTGTGCTGCATATAAACATGTAGAATAATTTAAAACTATCAGAAATAAAAGTAAATGAAATAAATACTTTTTATATCATTCTTGTGCAAAAAGAGAAGGGAGCTTCTCCCATTGTCCTAGCCAACAATCCTCCAGATAAAGGGTGTTTCGCCCACAAAATACGCAGTCAATTCACTTTACAGTATATTCTGTGAAGCGCTTTGAGACGTCTTGACGACGCTATATCAAATGCAAGGATTATTATTATAAAACTGGTTATTTACTTCATGGTTGTTTGTGGAACATTGTCTACCACATTCACCTACAAATACAGTCACTACACTTCACAGTAAAAATTCTGTGAAGCACTTTGAGACATTTCAACCATGTGATAAGATGCTATAAACCAATGCATCTAGTGACCATCCTCATGGGGAGCGGGGGAATGTGGGGGGCTAAGGTAAGCTGAGTCTCTTCGGAGCTGATTCGGTTTCCAAGGTGACCCAGCTTGGCAACTCAATGTTAAAATTGAGTCAGTCTTGTGTGGTGGTCTCTGGAAGTCGGTTCCTGAGCCCGGCGGGTCTGCAGTACTCCAGGGCACTACTGATGACAGCCGTGATTTTTCCCTCTCGGCTCCTGTTAGCCCTGCAAACCAGTCCTGCCTGACAGGAAGATTGGTCCTAGCTGGATAAGTATCAGAAAGCTTGCCTTTTCAATGGTAAGCTAATTTGTTTTAGCTGGTTATACTCCAGTAGTACCCCAACCCACACTTGGGATCCCAAGCTTGGCTCTTGTCAGTCTGCACCTAATACTCCCTAGAATTAAGTAAGCAGGATGCATCCCTCCAGGGAGAGAGTGCACATTCCATTTCAAAACACAGGAATTCCCAAGTATAGATAGGATGTATGGAACTTTTGATCTGGTTTGGATGCTCTTGAGCACAGTGAAAGGTTTCCGCGTGTGTCCGACTCACCCGGCTAACCAAAAAAAGTCAAGTGAAAGAATTATTAAGGAATGTTTTTATTTAAAACGTTATCTATCTTTTTTTTCCCACAGTTGAGCCAGAGTTTAAATATATCGCAAACATGCATGGTAATGAAGCATTGGGAAGAGAATTGTTGATTTATCTTGCACAGTATCTGTGCTCCGAGTACTTAAATGGAAACCAAAGGATTCAGGCTTTAGTGAACACAACCAGAATTCACCTTCTCCCTTCTATGAATCCTGATGGCTATGAATTTGCAGCTGAAGAGGTAATTATTTCTCTGGTTCTCTGAAGACCTTCCTATTCGACCATGCCTACAGTCACTTTCGTCTCCCCCCCCATCTTGGAGTCGTGCTCCCCCACTGTCAAGCGCTCTGGGATGCTACCCTGTGTGAGGGGCTCTATATAAATGCAAGTTGTTGTCGTTGTTAATACATACAACTTTGTTAGACTATACCTTGGTAGGGCGCAAATTCACTGGATGGACTGTGGATTTAGCTTCCAGAGCTAACTAACCCACTTCCTGCACTAAAAACTGGTCAATTTCCAGGTGGCCAAATCAACCCTGAAGTTGCTTTCCACACATCTACAAAGTAAAAGATATCACGGGGATTTGACAGCCTGGAATTTGGCTGGAGAAATATACAGGCTAATTGACTTACCCCATAAGCAAAGGACTATTAACCTTTAAAGGACCAGTGGATCTACCATGTCTCTTTTGTGGATGGATATCTTAGTTCATTTGGCTTTCAAATCACATACTGTAGTACTATAAAAATATTAGACATATAAATAAAATTAAAATAAAGCCATTGTACAATAAGATAGCTTCATTACTATATTACACTAAATTACTGCAAATAAATCCATAAAAAAAAACATTTTAAAAATGGTGCTGATATGTTGGGTTGACTTTCTTAACAAAAAATTATTTTTCCTATCCTATACTTATTACTAATTTTACCTTTGAAACCTTCTATCTCCTTGCTCCTACAGTCCATTTGGAAGTCCTCACTTTCAAAATAGATTTTTTTTACTGACTGAAAAGTGTTTTTGTAGGTTGGTTTTCACAAAACCACAAGATTGGTTTGGATGAAGAAGGTCAATTGGCCCATCCAATCTCATCCTTCCAGAACACTGACCCTGCCATCCCCTCATCACAGCATCAAGCAGCTTTTTAAATGAGTCCAGTGACCTGGCTGGACCAACCACCTTTCCTGGCAACCTATTGATTACCCTCTGAGTAAAGCAGAACTTTCTCAATCTGCCATTTACAACTCTAAACCTATGTCCTCATTTGTGGGCAATAGAAAGCTGAATAGTAGACTGATAGGGCCAAGTCATCAGAGCGATGAGGCGAATCATTGATACAGAAATGGCTTTAGATCAGGAAATGGGAGGTGTAGTCTAACACACTTATTAGTCCCACAGAGATTGTGTTGGTTGAGTGCTTATCTGTGATCTTCCAAGAATCAAAATTAACCAACTCGTCGAAGCAAGACTGGAGATCAGAGGATTTTTTTGTCCCTACAAGAAGGTGGATTTCTAGAAAAATCTGCTGATGCTGTTAATTTGCACTTTCAGCTGGGAATAATTGGCTGGGAACAATATTGGAAATGATGAGGACAGTGTGCAACTAAGATGAACAAATATACCACCAGAAACAATAATTTTTGTACAGCTGCAACCAGGAATCAGGGAAACAATCTAGTGATTTTACTTGGTTGGAGATCGGCTTTGCAGAGTAGTTTCCTGTAAAAAATTGAAGGGGCAGTTGCAATTTGTGATTTGGTAGGTTATACGTAGTGTATGGAAAGAATGGGATAGATTGAACTGTCTTTTCTCATTTCATGCTTTCGTATTGGTGTCACCATTAAACTTCAAAGCACAGGTGCATCCATACCCACAGTATCAGAATTTTGTTGCTTCAGGTATTCAGTAAACTAATACAAATCAAACCAATTTCACCCATTTTGAAGTCATAGTTCAACTTATTACCCATTGTCATAAGATCATAATGATTCAGATAAAGAAGGTCCTTCAACCTATTTGATCTTATCCAGTCCTTATCATCTTCCCACCACAGAATTAAGCTTTTTGTCAGAATTCTGGTCCTAAAACCGCTTCCTGGTAAACTGTTCTAGTCATTAATTACTTTCTTGTTTTAAAAAATAAATTCCTGGTGTCTGTCTTGAAATTGCACTTTTCTATCCTAAATCTGTACCCTCTTGTTATGCTCTCCTACTATATCTGAAAGTATTGTTTTGGGCTTATTTTCTCAATTTTATTTAAAATCCTATACAGTATATCTCTATAAGGCTACTAAGGTGATACCAAGGCTGACACTTAATGCTATCAGGATAGACTGAATAGATTAGGCCTTTTTTGCTAGAGATGAGAAATTTAAGAGGGTACCGAATAGAGGGTTTGATAAGGTTAGCATAATTAGACTCTTTTCACTGGTTGGGGAGCTGGTAATACAAGTATAAGGGGATCTAAAAGAGAATTTAGGAGGAACTACTTCACGCAGAGGGTAGTGACATTGTGGAACTTGCTGCTTGAAGCGATGGTTGGACCAAATAATATAGAAGTATTCAAGAGGAAGCAAGACCTTCAAGTGAGGGACAGGTGATTAGAGGGCTATGGGAGACAGTAAGGAATCGGTGGAGACTCATGCAGAGTATAAACACAGGCATGAACTGGTTGGGTTGAGTGGCCTGTTTCCATTCAGCTGTACATCCTTTGTAAATCTTTGTGAAGACCCCTCTGAGAAATCTTTTCAAGGCTGAAGAGTCCTAACATTTCTAATAGTTGGTCATTGCTCTGCCATTGGGTATCATACTTACAGCTCTGCTCTGCATTGCCTCTTCTATGGCCTGCACTGTCAGTAATGCTTGTTTGTGTGAAGATACCTGATAGAGTTCATTTCACCTATAATGCAGGGTCCCGGCTACAATGGATGGGCAAATGGACGGGTTAATGCTCAAAGCCTCGACTTGAATAGAAATTTTCCAGACCTCACATCAATATTTTATCGAGAAAGAAGGAGAAGAGGAGGCCGGGTTGACCATATCCCAATTCCAAGGTCTTACTGGAACGGTAAGGTATGAACTGTTAACATGATATCTATTGTATTGTGGCCTGTTTTGTTAACATGTTTCCTGCCTAATAAATAATAATCCTTGCATTTGATATAACGCCTTATCATGTCTTCAAAATATCTCAAAGTGCTTCACAGAATAATACTGTTCAGTGAATTGACTGTACATTTTGTGGGCAAAATGTGGCAGCCAATTGCACACAGTAGTGTCCCACAAACAGTCGTGGATTGAGTGACCAATTTATTATATTTTTTTTGAAGGAATTATTACCCCCAGAAAAGCGATTCACCAATCGACTAACAACCAGGTTTCTTCTTACTGCTAGGTAAACAGAGATGTGTGTAAGGAAAGATGAGTAAGGAAACTTGCCCAACATTTTGCCCTACTGGGAATCAAACCCCGGTCTCTCACTTGCGAGGCGAGTGCTCTAACCGCTACAGGCCTATTAGGAATAACTTCAAGCAATATTATTCAATAGGCATTACATTTTTTTTAATGTTTCAAGATCACTAGTTATAATATTATTTTACTCATTACATTGAAGGTGGACTAGAATCTATTTTCCTCCTTAAAATCACTTGTAATAAAATAGTGAAGTGCACCGTTTACTGAATATTAAAAAAAAGCAAGGTTAATTTATTTCTGTAGGATTAAGCTACTCTTGGCATTTGAATAGCTCTATTACTCCAATCTTAGTGTTTGTTTTTGTGCTATGGTCAAAAAGGAGAGGAATTGGCCAGACAGGGAGCTTAGAATGTTCCTCGACTTGTCAACTGAAAATAAAAAGAAGTTGGTTGCTATTTATCATGCACCTAAACAAACTGATACAACAAGAAGCCTGAATAAATGCAATATTTTACACCTTTACTCATTGGTATAAAAAATAGCAAATTATGTTAAATCAAAAAAGGGTAAAATTATGTATTACAAATGATATATGTATTTTATGTAAAACACTGATTTTATTTTAAATCACAATGATTCCTTTTTATACTTCAATTGTAGACTGCACCTGAAACGAGGGCCGTTATAAAATGGATGAAGAAAATTCCTTTTGTTCTGTCTGCAAGCTTGCATGGTGGAGATTTAGTAGCAAGTTATCCTTTTGACTTATCAAGGCATCCAAGTGAAAATAAGTTTTTCTCTCCAACACCGGATGAAAAGGTATATTGCTTACTACATGTGACATGTGTTTTGGAAATTAAAAACAAGCTGAATGGAAACAAGTTCAGTGTCGTATTTATAATTCCAGATGTTCAAGATATTGGCTAGAACATATGCTGATGCACATCCTCGTATGTCAGACCCATCGGAGTACAGATGTGGAGGAAACTTTGGTGACAAAGGAGGCATCATAAACGGAGCACAGTGGTACAGCTTTTCTGGAGGTACATCACCATTACATGGACTTAAGCAAAATTAGATACACATTTTCATTGCCTCACTTCTAATGATATTCTGCAGTTCTGAAAAATAATAGTTTCCCTGACGCTTTTCTACCCGTCAAACACCTCAATTGAATCCTTTGCCAAATTGTTATCTAATTCCCCTTTGAAATTGCTGATGTAATCTGCTTCCAATTGTTCCTGTGGGACAGCTGTTTCACACGTCCACTCTACTTAAGCCAACCAATGCTGAGTTTGTCTGGATCAGGGTCCAACTGGCAGCCTGCGGGCCAATCTTCGACTCCCCTCCCCCCCCCCCCCCCACCTCCCCCATTGGGCAGGGGAGTTAACCTGAAATGATAAACTTTGTTAAGAAATATCATAATCCATAATATTAGATTCAAAGGATTTTACAGCACAGGAAGCCATTTTTGATCGATTATTATCATTTTATATCAAATGATATTTTATATCAAATACCTTTCCAAAAACTATTATAGATTCAGCCTCAGCCATCATTTTGATGGAGCCAAATGCAAATGAGTGCAAATGAAATCCTCTTAATCTTTCCTTTTGTCTTTTTTGTATTGATGTTAAATTTAAAGGCGTCAATGTAGAGATTCTTCTTACCTTCACTCCTTGCCACAGAGAGAATGACAGCTAGATCTGTCCTGAGAAATTTGCAAAAGGTTCAGTCTGAAGTCTTCCTACCACAAGATGACATATCATCACTCAACTAGAACATTAGCCAATTCCAGGCATCAGCTAGGTTGCAGTTTCCCCTTTATTCAAGGAACCCATTATTAATGCTCTTCAATATAATGCTGCTTCTTAGAGAGGTAATCAATGCTGACATTCTGTGTCCTCATCATGAAAATTCTGTTGTGAAATTAGCATTAATAGATTAGGATGCACATTGTAAGAACAGTGCAATATATAAATACAATTTACATCGAGAGGATATCTCAGAACTTTACACTGCATGAGAGCTGCCGGCTGATTTTCAGTGCCATTGCCGTTGACCTTATGCTGTTAGCTGCCATTAGTTTGAACCCTCACTTATATAAGGCAACTCCCAGCTCAGGTCCAAAAAACTCTGCCTGTCCAGTGCCCTGGGACGTCTTTTTGATGTGAAGGGTACTATACTCAGTGCAGTCCTGTAGCTCAGTGGTTAGAGCACTCGCTTTGAGATCTGGGTTAGATTCCCGGCATGGTAAAACCTTTGGTAAATTTCCTTACTCCACACAGCTGATAATAATCCCTGAAAAAAACAATAATAGATTGGTTATTTCAATCCACGACTGTTTGTGCGTCACTGCTGTGCACAATTGGCTGCTGTGTTTCTCCTACAAATATACGGTCAATTCACTTACAGTCTACTCTGTGAAGCGCTTTGAGACATCGAGAAGATGTGAAAACCGCTATATCAAATGCAAGGATTATTATTATATTATTATTACAAGTGTAATTTGTTGTTGTTGGAAGTTTCTGGTTCCCAACACTCGCTAGTACCATTCTATTTTGGAATTTGTGATAAAAACAGATCCTTGTCATATTGCCTGGGCAGAATGATTGAATAATCAGAAATCCAATTTTCTTAAATGTTAATTGCAATGCTGAAGCTTTAGGTAATAAAATATTGTCCCTCAAATTTCACAACTTTGGGCTTATTTTTTCTCTATGTTGTTTTATCCCTATTGTTGATATGTTACCTTATTAAGCACACACTAGCTAGCGAGATAGATAGATTTCTTATTGCAAAAGGGATTAAGGGATATGGGGAGAAGGCAGGGTCAGGTTATTAGCTGGTGTTAGATTAGAAGATCAGCCATGATTGAATGATGGGGCAGGCTCGAAGGGCCGAATGGCCTACTCCTGCTCCTACATGTTATGTTATAACTTGTTTCCCCTTAAGCTGCCAATTCTTGTCCTCCAGTTTTTCCAACTACCCTCCTTGAAATCGTTTGATTATTTGACTACCCATAAAGTTAAAGGATGCCTGTCTGCTCTCTGGTTCTGTGCCCAAATGTCCATTCTTGTTGTGGGAGCCTTGACAGCAAATATTGGCAGGCGATTGAAACTCAGGGGGTTTTGCCAATTATGTCCTCACCTGCTATCCACTCATGCACACTTTCCAGCAGGGGCCTCTGACATCAACACTGACTGATTTTCCTTTCACTAACCCAAGGGTTCTGAAATTAATTGTAACACCCCTATTGATACCCTATCTCAAATCAGCTAATTGAGCACAAACTGGAAGTGCAAAATTTCTTTGCACCTTACAATAATAATCCTTACATTTGATATAATGCCTTTCATGTTGACAGGATGTCTCAAAGCTCTTCACAGGATATACTGCAAAGTGCAGCGATTGTCTGCAAACACGCAGTTAAAAAAAGCCTGATTATTCGCAATGAGAACTGAATTTCTATGCTTTAGATAGAAAAAGGTTTATTTGCAACCTTGGCAACTGCAAGCATGTTGCCATAAAAGAGTCTCACGTAACCATTTACTTGTTATATAAACTAACTTCACACAAAAACAAATCTTGTAACATCTATTATATCATTTCAGGAATGGACGATTTTACTTACCTACACACAAACTGTTTTGGAATAACATTGGAAATAGGGTGTGAGAAGTTTCCTGTTAGTGATGATCTCTATCCAGCCTGGCAAGAAAACAAAGAGGCACTGCTGACATATATGGAATTGGTACATTGCTTTCTTTCATAATTTAATTAGTCTATCAGTTAAGAAATCTGAAATAAGGCTTCTGTAAGTAAAAGCTCTGAGATGAATTATAATGCTGCTATTGTGTCATTATCAAAGTACTAACTAGGCAAAGAATGATTTCATGGTGTCAGGCCATTAGTCAACCTAATAAGCTTAGGTTGAATGAAGGCTTGCCTGAAGCCCTACTGCCTGCTCACACCTGGCTGGAGCTCGCTTGTCTCCTCATACTTGGCTGACATTTATACTGTTTGTATGTTGGAATGCCAGTGCTGAGATGCGCAAAATATCACAGTCCTCCAGGAGGTTATATAAAATGACAGTTCTGTTTTACATTCACAATTTAGCATTTTATATACAATAGAGAGCTAATTATTCACAATAATTGGGACTAACACCTTTGTGGATAACAAAACAGTGTAGATGATTGGACATTGTACAAAATGCAAATTGGCTAAAGTGACAGCCCAAAACTTCTTCCATCAGGAGGTACATTGTCACTTTGCCTCCAAAATGGGAAATATTAATCCATGGCTGATGGTTATGCAAATGAGTAGTTGAGATAATAGATGTTGAGAAGATACAACTATTTGTGAGTGGAATTACTCTAGATGTTTTACACATTTAAAAAAGATTGAGTTGTAGAACTGGAGTGGAGTTCTGTAGCTCAGTGGTTAGAGCACTCACCTCTCAAGCAACAGACCGAGGTTCGATACCCGGCAGAACGAAACTTTGGGCAAGTTTCCTTACTCCACACACCTAATAATAATCCCTCAATAAAAAAACACAATAAATTGGTCACTTCAATTCACGATTGTTTGCGGGACACTGCTGTGCGCAATTGGCTGCTGCATTTCGCCCACAAATATACAGTCAATTCACTTTACAGTATATTCTGTTCTTGAGATGTCTCGAAGACATGAAAAGCGCTATATCAAATGCAAGGATTATTATTATTAGAACATTTTGTTGTAAAAGTACATTAAACAATGAGATCCACATACATAAATAGTGAACTGTTCTCGATTATGGATTTTTAAAAATACTTTTAATAATTTCACAATAACAAAACTGTTAGGGCTAAAGCACTTCCTTCCTGCTGCCAGCTTCCTGCTGTACAGGCAAATTGCAAATTCAAGCACAACTGGACTTCTACTGTCAGTATTGCAGCCCCATATTCACTTTCACATCAGAGCCTGATGTGAATAAGTGAACAAGAGAATAATTGATGCATGGAAACGTGACTATCTATATATCAATAAAAGGTAGCCTCAGATATTTCTTTTCAAAATTGACGAGCACTAATTTATTAATTAATCCTCCAGCTCATCCCTCCCTCTAATAATACTTATTGCTCTCCTCTGAATTGTCTTTAGGGTCAGGGTAGTATTTTATGTTGTGGCAACAGTTGCTTGGCATGGAACACAGTATGCAGTTCCGGTTACCAGAGGAGCCTTGCTCAGTTTGCTTATTAAAGAATCCCATTAGAAATCACTAGATATTAGATGCTATGTCAAATTTTTTTTAGTGATAGTCTGCTGGTGTGTTACATTATGCATATGTTTTGATTTGGGAGAGAAAATTATCTCACGTTTCCCTAAATATTTATTCTACACTGTATTGTTAAAATATTAGATAATAATAATAAATAATAATAATCCTTGCATTTGATATAGCGCCTTACCAAGTCGTTGAGACGTCTCAAAGTGCTTCACAGAATATACTGTACAGTGGATTGACTGTGTATTTTGTGGGTGAAACATGACAGCCAATTGCATACAGTGTCTCATATACAGTCGTGGATTAAGTGACCACATTTTTTGAGGGATTATTACTCCCGGAAAGTGACCACTTATTGCTAGGCAAACAAAGATGTGTGGCGTAAGGCAACTTGCCTAAAGTTTTGCCCTGCCGGGAATCGAACCCAGAGACTCTCACTAGCAAGGTGAGCGCTAACCACTTCGCAGAGGATACCTCATTTTAAGTTTTCTGATAAAACACTGAATTCCATAGTTGTGTAACACATTAACAGCTGATACCAAATCAGAACTGTATGTTCCTTTTCCAGGTACACCGTGGAATAAAAGGAATTGTGAGGGATGAAGGTGGACGAGGGATTCAAGGGGCACGGATTTCAGTGAGAGGAATCCGGCATGACATCTTTTCAGGTAAACTGGAACGAAGAACCTGGAAACGGTTTTAAAAATGGCATGAAACTCAATAGAGTAAAACAAAACTTTAGAAAATAGAATTTCATCAAAAGTGTAGTGACAATAAAATTCGCACAAGGCTGATCTGTATAAATCCTACAAACACCTAAGTCGTACATCTGCCCAAGTCCAGTTCAAGAGTTTATATTCCATGCACGTTTGACATAACTCACACTTTGCATAAATCATATTAAATTGGGACTGGTGATGTGTTAATATTCACTAGTGGTAATTATCGGAAAGTAGAAAATTGAACTCTTTCCTTGTCTTTTTCGCTGTTGGATATCAAGTCCTGGATGAGGGCAAATTTCATATAGTTGAATGTGAACAAGACTGAGACCCTCCTGATTGGCTCGCACCAGAGCCTCTGCACCTCAGGCTCTGGCAGCATCAACCTCTATGGTTGCACACTTCAACTCACCAAGCCAGTCAGGAACCCAGGTGTCTTGTTCGACCCTCAACTGTCTTCTCCACATCCAAGCCATGACCCGCTTTGCCTTCCCTTCCCTCAGTAACATCGCCCAACTCCGGCACTACCTCACCCCTCAGGCCGCTGAAACTCTTGTTCATGCCTTCATCGCCTCCAGGGTTGACTATGCAAGTGCCCTGTTTGTCGGCCTTCCCAACTCCTCCCTCCACAGGCTGCAGATAATCCAGTACTCTGCAGCCGATGTCCTGTCCCGCACCAAACTCCATGACTCCAGCTCCCCCATTCTCGCCCGACTCCATTGGCTTCCTATTCTTCAGAGGATCCGGTTCAAGATCCTGGTCCTCACCTACAAAGCCTTCCATGGCCAAGCCCCACCCCATTTCTATGACCTCCTAGACCCTACCAACCCGCCCGCTCCCTCCGCTCAGCCGACACCGGCCTGCTCCACGTCCCCCGACCCCTCCCGCTCCACCATTGGCAGAAGAGCCTTCAGCCACTCTGCCCCCAATCTCGAATTCCATCCCCCAATCACTCCGCCTCACCCCCTCCTTAGCCTCTTCAAGTCCTGCCTCAAAACCCTCCTCTTCGACCATTCCATCGGTAATAAATAAGCCATTACAACAGTATGACCACTATCAGGAAAATAACCCTCTATCGGACAAATATTCTTACTCCCAAGTAAAATGCATAGAAACATCAAGAGGTACACTTACCACCAAACAACAACTCTAAACTTTAGTGATTGATAATTGTAATATATATATATTAAAATAAGAATAAATATACAGGCTTTTCAGCTTGTATGAAAACCTTTCAATGTTGAATGATATTTCATAGATAATGTTGAATTTCAATGTTGAATGATATTTCAATATTATTGTGTTTTTCTATTTTTTGACTCTAGTTGCTAATGGAGAGTATTGGAGACTGTTGCCTTCAGGTACACATTTCGTAAGTGCTCAAGCTCCAGGCCACTCCCGTGTTTTAAAGAAAATATTTTTACCAGCAAGGATGAAAGAGGCAGGTCGTGTGGACTTCATTTTGCAACGCCTGGAGCCTGATCCGGTTGATGTCCTTGTTGATGAAGGAGTAGATGATTTAGATCTGATGGAGCACTTAGATAACATTGACCACAGACGTGGAGAGCCTGATGATGAATATTTCTCACCCCAAAGGGAAAAGCCTTGGTGGTGGTCCTTCTTTGTTGTTATAGGAGACAACGCACCAGTTTGGCTCTTGAGGGAAGATTAAACTACCAATATTGCCACCATATCAAGTGGAGTGTATATGTTACTGAGATGGCATTTGTATTTCCTGTGACTCTTTCATTGTCTTAGATTACTTTAAACCACCTTGATAATGTAGAAAAGCAATATCTTTTTGAAACATTCTTATATTTTAGTCTTGCATAGAGCAGGAATGGTTATGAGCACTGAATATAAGGGATCGTCATATATCACATCACAGTACATGTATTACAAATTGAGCACTAGCCAGCCCTCCTGCATTGGGTGTGAATGCTGGTAAAACTGCCAACATGTTGTGGTGCACATTATGTATCTGTAATGAAGAGGGTGTTTTTGGAAAGAGAATTATCTTATATTCTGCCTTGATAATTAAATATATGGAAAGTTTGAGTTAAGTTGCGAATTTTAACAAATGACTTGCTTCGGTGGAATAAATATTTACTTCTTTAAGGGCAGCTCATCACACTGTTAATATGACGATTGCTACATCAGTATAGTGCTTCAGATCTGTCTAATGAATGCAGTCCATACATAATGAGAGTGATGCTGAGCAGTGTTGCCCATCAGGAAACTCGCAGACTTCCTGGTACCTAGCAACCACCTAGTTGAGGGCTCAAAGACACACGCTTGTCGGATGTCAAACATCTAGTGACTATCCTTGGAGTGGAGGTAAGCGGGCTCTACTGAACTGACTCCAAGGTGATGTATTTGGCAATGGAATGTTGAAATCGAGCTATCCCCTCTGTGTTGATCTGGGTAATCCGGTGCCTGAGCCATGCGGGTCTGCAGTACTCCAGTGTAATGCTGATGACAGCACAGCCAGCCTGGGTCATCAACACGACTTGGAAGGACAGACCAGTCACTGGGGACAGGGAATCAGCCCACTCTACTCCTGTTCACCCTGAAAGCCAAAGCTCAAACTGGAAAGGTGCTCCTAGTAGGACAAGCAGCGGGAAAGCTTGTCAGACAGTGCTATCAATGGCAAGCTTTGCGGTTTAAGCTGGTTAGACCCAGTAATACCCCATCGTACACTCTGGGGTCCCCAAGCCAACCTGCGCTAATACTTCTCGCAATTATTTAAACAGGATGTGTCTTCCAGAGAGAGGGCGCATTCCATTCCAACAATTATCTCTGGAATTTCCATGTGTAGGTAGGATGCATGGAATTCTCAATTTGGTTTGGATACTGTTAAACATTGTGATGTGTCAGACACCCGGCTGAACCCCCCCAAAAATAACACTGAGCAACGACGCTTTACAACAACAACAAGATTACATTTGTGTAGCGCCTTTCACGTCGGGAGGACGTCCCAAGGCGCTGAAATTCAGACACAAGCTCAATTTATCCAACCACAACCTCAGCCAGAATTTAACTGCATGCAAGAAAAAAATTTAATTTGCATGATGGGCAGAAGAAAAAGTTTGCCACCAATTGATGCGAAACATTGAGTCCTTCATAAGTGAACATAAACAATGTTTATTTTCTTTCTTGTCTTATGAATATAAACTTTATACTACAGGCAAAACATTAGCAAATAATACAACTTAAGTTAGTCAAAGCTAGCCATGTGGAAGTATACCTATTTAAGTTGCACTCATTTTATTGCTATAGTGACTTTTTTTTCAGAGTTTTAGCCCTCTTAATAAGCTTCCATCTCCTTGTTAAAAATGTTAGTACTCCACTGTTAAAAGTGCAATTTACAAATGTTAATTATTTACCTTTACTTTGTTTTTTGTGCTGTAATGTAATTGTTTCAAATATATCAATGGCAAATATAATTTTCTTAAATATAATAAAATTGAATATTGTTTAATATAAAACTGGAGAATGTTTTGTAAAAACCTTTTCTTGCAAGTTTTGCTTGAAACATCCAAGCTTCAAAAATACTGGGGGGAAGAAACATTGTAACACTGGTTTCTATTGTGGATTCGAGACCACATCAAGTTTTGAAATCATAATCTAGAATGACTGCCAGTGTAGTACTGAGGGAGCATTGTTTAAAATCCTGCCCCTCAGGTGAAATGTTCAACCGAGGTCTTGTAACCTGGCTGTGGTGGTTCAGTTCACAAGAGCACAAGATCATCTGATAGCATCTCTCCAGAATACAACCTCACTGTTCTCCACTCACAGCATCAAACTGCTTCTTAAATAAGTGTCCTGGCCTGAATCATCCTTCCTGGCAGCCTGTTCCATTCATTAATTATCTAGGGAAAGAAAAACTTCCTTGTATCTGTCCTGAAATTGCCTTTTGCAACTCTAATTTATATCCGCTTGTTTGACTGTGGGTGCATCCTAAAGTATTGTTCTGGGTTTACTTTTTCAATTCCATTTAAAATGTGGTGGATACTAAAGATCCCATAGGATTAGTTTGAAGAAGGAGTTTCCCGATATTGTTGCCAGTATTTATCCCTCAGCCAAATTCATCAAACAACTAGATTTATCGGTTCTTCATTTTTTTTGTTGTGTACTGTGTTTCACTACATGGTAACAGTTATTACACTTCAATTAACTTTTGTGAATCTCTTCGTGATATATGAAGCATATAAAGTACAGTACTCAGATTTGTTTGAAATCAATCAGAATTATAGAATAACTAATGGTTTCAAAACTTTTCTAAACATAATTAAATAAAAGTGACAAATGGAATGAATTGGTCACCATTCACCTGGATGTGTGCAGCAAAAATAATACCCGAGAAGCTCAAACTATCCATGATCTGTGCAAGAGTTATTTTGGTTGAGACCTCTCATATTGTCACAGCGTGCTCTTAGAACATATAGAAAGATATAAAAGGATGTCACCTTTCAGAGTGCTTACTAGTTGTCTGAGTAAGGGAAGGAGGTTGGAAACAGAGGAGAAAGAGAGAGAAAAAGATGGGAGAAAAGTTTTAGAGAAGGAAAAGGGTAGGTGAAAATTCAATCCCACCCGCTTTAACTCAGTTGAGTTAAAATTCCACCAGGGTCTAAATTTAGTCTACTTATGTAACATTTTAGAGGTTGCAGAGTTTGGCAAATTGTTGAATTCAGAAAACATTGAAGCAGGTTTCATGTAATGCACAGAAGCAGGAAACCAACTTCTGTTTCATAATGTTTTTTTAAAAGTTATGCATCATACCTGAGCAATGGTATTCACTACAATACATTACAATTTGCATAGCTTGAGCTCTTAAACTTAATGCAGAATTTGTTATTAATTATTTCAAGATTAAATTACCTTAATGGAAAGAAGTCAGATGCAATGCAAAGAAAATAACTTACAGAAAGTGGTTTCAAAAGGTATGAGGTGTTTAAGATGTAGAAAGATATTTGAAACCCAAACTTTATGGAGAAAGGGCAGGGAAATTGAACTAGACAATTAAAAGAGCTTCCATAAAATTTATAAAACGGAGGAAACAGACTTGATCCAATCTGTAGAAAGTCTTGTTCTTAAGTGCTTTGAGAAGACATTCTGAATTTGAGCTTGATTTGTGTGTGAGGGTTCTGAATGAATAACCCATTAAGGTCCAGGTCACCGGACAATGCAATTTTGCAGGGGTAGATTAATAGACAGAAATATATTAATCATTGTGGAGTCCTGTAGCTCAGTGGTTAGAGCACTCGCTTTGCAAGTGAGAGACCTGAGTTCAATTCCAGGGAGTGCGAAACCTTGGGCAAGTTTCCTTACTCCACACACCTAATAATAATCCCTCCAAAAACCAAAAACAATAATAAATTGGTCATTTTCAATCCATATGACTGTTTGTGGGACATTGCTGTGCGCAATTGGCTGCCGCATTCGCCCACAAATATACAGTCAAATCACTTTACAGTGTGTTCTGTGAAGCGCTTTGGGACGTCCTCCTGACGTGAAAAGTGTTATATCAAATGCAAGGATTATTATTATTATTATTATTGTGTGTATGTGTGTGGGGGAATTTCATTTTTTTTTGCCCAGGGATGTCAGTTGATATATTTTTTATATTAAAACAAAGGAATTCATTCCCAGAATTAAAAAGGTCAGTCACATAATAAAATGGCCTGGAAGTGCACACAGGCAGAAAACCAACTTCTGGTTCACGGTGTTTTTTTTTTAATTTTGCATCATAGCTGAGCAATGGCATTTAGTACAATACATTGCAATTTGCATGGCTTAAGATCTTAAATTTAATGCATCATTTGTTATTAATTATTTCAAGATGAAATTAGCTTAATGGGAAAAAGTCAGATGCAATACAAAGAGGCTCAGTCGTTGGCTTAGTGAACTGGTTGCAGCAGTAAAATTTATTGATGTCGTGCCACAGTTAATTACTTACAATTGACTACTTAATAAAGCAATCAGAGACTAAAATGCCTTCCAGGCATAACTAGCATATCAACAGCTGCAGCCTATTATAACACAGCGATGCAAGATGCCGTGCAAAGCCAATCTGTACATTTCTGGACAAAATTTTCAGACAAAAAAGGAAAACTCCAGCACAATAAAATGCCTCCACTAATTAAAACAAATCTATGGTTATACTTTTTATGCTCAGTTTGATTTTAAATCTGTGCCTTGCTAATTGTTGGGCACAAATCCATTTCAAGCTGAGGGATGATATTGCTGGAGAATGGAACACATTTCTCTTTGCATCTGAGGACTGTATCAAGGGGTATTATGCAGAGTAGGGGTGAAAACATGGGACTGGACTCAAAGGTTGATCCCAAATGAACTTGGCAGGTTTGATCAGGCTGTGTTACAATGTGGCTTTAAATGGATCAGTTTTAGTTGGCTTTGGTTCTCTTGTATACAGCATAAAAATGGGCCGCAAACTGTTTGTTTTGAAGCCACATGGTGATCAGGCATTACGTTCAAATGCTTAGCTGCTGATTTTCTGATCAGCTTGCACTCACAGACTGATACTTATCTGTAGTCTGTCCACACTATTCTCTTCCCCCAGTTCAGTAATGTTCTCAACTAAGTTCACCAAAAGTGTTTCCCACAACTTGCCTTTCACAAGCATTTCCTTTTGGTCTCTGGAAAACGAAGTTCATCCTACAAAATGCATACTGCATATTACTAAAATTTACGGTTACAAAGCAAATCATGTAATGCATTAAGTTATTAATCAAATAAAAAACTTATCATGTCAACATTAAAATATGGAAACAATTTAATAAGATGACAGATCCTGATTAACATAAGTATTGGAAGTATGAGGGTATAGCAAATTGGTGGAAGAGGATAATGGGAGAAGGAAAAGAAGAAGGATGTTTCTTGCATACAATCAGAAGATAAATGATAAGGTGTCATTAACCTATAATTAAAGTGATAATTATTGAGCTACAAATAGATAATTAGAGTCATGCAGAATTGAATAGCAGGTTGTAAGCAGCAGTTGCACAGGACAACTCTGGCCAGCATAATATCGCAGAGATCATTACCCTGTTTTGTTCACAGTATCGATGCAATAAATCATCTCAGTGAGGATAATACAAGCAAAGGGTACTGTATCTTTTCGACTTGCCAATAAATTAAACCACTTTGCTGATGGGTTTCACGTTGCATATCTCTCACTTTTTATATGAGGTTTAGTGCAATTTAATAGCTCGTTGCAGTTATCTCATCTGCTTTTGTTTTTCCATCCTCCTCCTAGTAATAGAAATCCACAGTCTGTTAATGGTCCATAAAACAGCCTCATTTAAATCATTTTCAACCTCTTTTTAATGTTTTTCTGTTCCTCATCTATACCATTCTATTATTTTGTAAAATAAATTGATAAACATTTGAAGAACAAAATGTAGAAGGGCATGGAGAAAGATAAATTAGAAAGTATAGCTCCAATAGGGGAGACAGCTCCAGTATATGATGGACCAAATGATATCCTTCTGTATTGAGATTTCCATGATTTTTTACCAATGGGAAAGTAACAAGCTAAAGGTTGACCAGTCAGCAACCAATTTTGTTCAAACATGGATCTGCCTGGACTTGACATGCGCCACAGGTTGGCCACCACTGGCTTAGCCTATATGAGTTCCAAGTCTAGACATGGGCATGAACCCATAAACTTTTTGACTCAGAGGTGAAAGTGTTACTACCCAAGCTAGGCTGACACCCAGTAAAGTTTGTATATAATAATCCTTGCATTATGATATAGCATTTCAACGTGCTGTCAAGACATCTCGAGTCTTCACAGGATATACTGTAAAATGTAGTGACTGTATTTGTAGGTAAATGTGGCAGCCAATTTGCACACAGTAATTTCCCACAAACAGTCAATGATGAGTGACCAATTTTTTTGGGGATCACTGGCCAGGACAAGAGGAGAAATGCCCTTCTCTTTTGAATGGTGCTGTGCTATCTCCACTTAAAAAGTCTGATGGGACCTCAGTTTAACATCTCATCCAAAGGATGACACCTCCAACACTGCACTGGAGTGCTGGCTATGACTTGTATTTGATAAGGTGCCTTAGTAGAATAAAATAAAATAAACCCTCCAGGGTGTCTTTGATCAATATCTTGAAATCTCTTATTTCCATGCTCAATGTCCACCACAATAACAGCGAAGGGCTATGAGATGTTCGTTGATATGAAAGCTCCTACATAATTACAAACCATTATTGATAATTAGATGGTCTATTTGGCAGCATAACTGCATTGAGAGTTTCATGTCAGATGAGTAACCTGCTGCCTTTGGGTTACAATAAACTTTTGTTCATTCTCCAATTTGTGTCTTGCACTCCATTCAAACTTGGTTTGGGGCAGAGGGTTTTCGGGAAACACAACTGTGATTGATAACCACCTGGGACTCTAGTGAGTACCATCGGAAATACTTTGTGAAGATATTTCTGGGAGCAAGTAA